ATATATATATATATATATATATACAGAGCTCTCTTGAATGCCTTATCATGATACAAAATGTTTTTTTGTATGTTAGTCATTCCTGTGCTCTCTCTCTCTTGGGCTATAACGTGGAGCCGAAGTAATTCTAGCGGCAAGCAGCAGGTAGGCTGGCAAGTTAGCGCCATCCATGGGCATGAAGACGGCGCTTATGCATTGGTCATTTGGGCTCCTAAGTGCCCATTGATGAGCGCTCGACAGAGGAGCCGAAGCCTATGTGCCAGCTTTGGGAGCATAAGTGTCTAATATCGACACTAGTCTTTTTTTTTCCCCTCGAGAGACTGACATTTAGGCGCCGGTCAATTGGCACCTAGCCCCATTTATGGGTGTAAACTCAAAAAGCCAACATCTAGACGCCGGCCTATTGGCACTTAGTTGCCCAATTATGGGCGCAGATACAAAGAACTTGGAACCTCGGTGCCCGGGAGCAGTTAACTCTGGATTTTTAGTTTTAAGCCATTTTTAGAGCGTGAAACCTAGGTTGCTTGTTGAGTCTTCCTTTAATATTCTTTGAGAACCTTCTGAGGTACAAGAGAAGAGTCGAGGAGAAGGATTTCTGGGAACTCGGCATGTGTCGTTTGTGTCGGATCGGAGAAAGAAGATTGTAGAGCGTCTTGTAAGTTTCTTCATATGAGTCTGGAGAAAAAACTTGTGAGTCATTTGTAAAACTTTCTAGATTACATAATGAAATTTGTGGTGGTGTGGCTCAGTGGTTTTTCCCGTTCTCGATTTTTTTCACGTAAAATCCTTGTGGTTTTTTAGTTCTTTTGATTGTGCTTTCAATTTATTTTTTTTTCCTATTTTCTTGAATCCTGTGATTTTATTCCACAGTGCTACTAAGAATTCTTCGGATGATTCCAAACACACACACTCTCTCTCCTCTTTTTAGAGGTTTAATTATTTGTAATTATGTTAGTGATTATCTTGAAAACCCTGGATTAAAGCTCGATTAAATGCTTGAAGTAGATCTATCATAGATAAATAATAGTTATTGATATACTTGAGTTACTCCAATCATCAATCCTTTAATGAAGGTTGTAATGCAAGACAAGATAATCTTTTATTCTTAGTTGTTGTATTTGTTATTGAATCTTGAATCTATGTTTAATGAAAATAAGTTTGATGATTTATATTTTTCTGAAGAGATTTGAAATTTTTCTGATATTTTCCTAGAAATTTTCATATTCTATGGAAATAATAGTTTACCAATATATTTTAGCTATCACAGAAGTTATTTACATGTCTTCAGAATGTCTCAACTTGGTTAATCACCTATTTTGAAAGTCTAAAAAAAATATTTTAAAATGCACCTTCTTTTCCTTTATAACAACAATGTTTGTTTGATATATTGTCAAGGTAAAGCAATCAATGGAATCTATGTTTAGTCATGTACCCATAGAGATAATATTGAAAGGAACTCGCCGCTCTGCTCTCGAGGACGTAGGCATCTTTGCCGAACCTCGTTAAATATCTGTGTTTTTCTGGATTTGTGTCGATTACTGTTTTTCTTCGCCCTAATTTTCTCAACAAGTGGTATCAGAGACTGGTTCGAGGGCAAGGAAGAAATTTCGTCGGCGCAAGGAAGAAGATTTGGCGGCTAGGCAGAGGTTTTTTGCGGCAGGACTCTTGATCGTGGCTCAGGGAAGCGGATCGCGTGGAGATCTGCGGGAAGCGGATTAGCTTCACGCGTGCGAGCAGTCGGATCGGAGGCGGAGGTCGGAGGAGGACGGATCGGTTCCGATTTTCGTCGGCGCTCCGAAGAAAAATTTTGCCTCGAAACGTCGGTCCGGCTGGTTGGCGAAGGGTCGCAGGAGGCAGAAGAGGATCGCGGAAATTTCCTGGGCGGAAATTTCGGACAAAGGAGCGGACGTCTCCGCAAGAAGGGCAGAAACGGAAACCGCTGAACAGGAAAGTTTCAAAAAAAAGAAAAATGGATGGGTGTAATGATTGAGGAGATGGAGTCTTTGCAGAAAAATCACACTTGGGAGCTAGTTCAGCTTTCGGAGGGAAAGAAGGCTATTGGGTGCAAATGGCTTTACAAAAGGAAACCAGCTGTATCAGAAAAAGAAGGGGAAAAGTTCAAGGCTCGACTGGTTGCAAAAGGATTTTCACAGCAGAAGGGGATAGATTATGATGAAATCTTTTCTCCTGTGGTCAGACATACTTCAATCACTGCAGTTCTTACATTAGTAGCCATTTAGGATTTGCATTCGGAGCAGATGGATGTTAAAACAGCTTTCTTGCATGGTGATCTGGAGGATCATATTTACATGGAGCAGTCATAAGGGTTCACTCAACCTAGACTGGAGCATCTGGTTTGCAGGTTTTTTTTTTTCAGATTGGCTACAAGAGATGTGAGTATGATTGTTGTGTTTATGTGAAGAGCCTTGATGATAGTTCAATTATTTTTCTGTTACTGTATGTTGATGATATACTGATTGCTGCAAAAAATATGAATGATGTCTGTGGTTTGAAAGTTTTATTGAGCCAGGAATTTGACATGAAAGACTTTGGTCCTACGAAGAAGATTCTTGAAATGGAGATTCATCGAGATAGAGGCTCAAGACGATTATATTTATCTCAACGAGACTATGTTGAGAAAGTGTTGGACAGATTTGAGATGAGCAAAACAAAGCCTGTAAGCACTCCTTTGGAAAATTATTTTAAGCTTTCTTCATAACAGTATTCGAAGACAGAAAAAAAAATCGAAGATATGACAAAGGTTCCATATGTCAGTGCAGTTGGTTGCTTGATGTATGCAATGGTATGTACTCGTCCTGATTTGACTCATGTTGTTAGATAAGTTTACAAATACATGGCTAAACCTGGAAGGCGACATTGGGAAGCAGTCAAGTGGATTCTTAGGTATATGAAAGGTACTATAGGACATGAAATTATTTTTGGCAGTCTTCAGGATGATTCTTCAGTTGTGGGGTACGTTGATTCTGACCATGCTGGTGATCTGCAGGGCAGAAAGTCTACAGCTGGGTATGTGTTTACTCTTGGTGGAGAGCTTATATGTTGGAAATCAATAATTCAGTCTATTGTGACATTATCTACAACTGAAGCTAAGTACATGACAGTAGCTGAAGCTGCTAAAGAAGCCTTATGGCTTGCTGGGCTGGTAAAGGAACTAAGTGTTGAGCAAGGTGGAGTTCAGTTGCATTGTGACAATCACAATGCTATTTATCTGGCTAAGAATAAGGTGTATCATGCGAGAATCAAGCGTATTGATGCAGGTATCACAAGATCAGAGAATTGATTGCTTCTGGTGAGATACTGTTGCAGAAGGTTCATACTGATGAGAATGCAACTGATATGTTGACCAAGTCAGTTACTATCAAAAAGTTCTTGCATTGCTTACACTTGTTGAATGCTTGCAGTTGCTAGAGAAGCATGGTAGCCCAACTCACTTCTGGTATGTAAGAAACTTTATGATGTATTTCTCCTAAGGGATTAGATATTCGCCAATGTGGAGATTTGTTACAGTTACTATCAACAAGTTCTTGCATTGCTTGGACTTGTTGAATGTTTGCAGTTGCTAGAGAAGCATGGTGGCCCAACCCACGCTGGTGCAGTTACTATCAACAAGTTCTTGCATTGCTTGGACTTGTTGAATGTTTGCAGTTGCTAGAGAAGCATGGTGGCCCAACCCACGGTGGTACAGTTGTAACTCCCAGGTATTTTTCTCCTAGTTACGTGGGTTGGGGTGCGGGGGCAAAGCCCCGCGGTATGGTACAGGGGTAATGTTGTAATTACATATTGTGCCTAGGTTTACTCCTGGGGTTATAAATAGGTCTGTTAGTAACCCCAGGAGGTAATCCCTGAATTCTGTAACTTCTTTTCTGAATATTGAAAGGAACTCGCCGCTCTGCTCCCGATGACGTAGGCATCTTTGCCGAACCTCGTTAAATCTTTGTGTTCTTCTGGATTTGTGTCGATTACTGTTTTTCTTTCCAAAATTTCATCGAAGTGCTGGCTGTTCTTGAGGAGTTAATTAAAAAGGAATTTCCTGCGGTGTTAATTAAGAAGGAATTTCTTGTGGAGTTAATTAAGAAGGAAATTGCTTGTTACTGGGAAAGTTAATAAAGCAAAGTTTAACTAAGGAAATTTTTTAATTAAGCTCTAAAAGGAAAGTATTTAATCAAGGGAACACTGTTCTGGTCCGTGAAGAAGGCATCTCTGAGAAACTTAATTAAGAAAATTTCTTAATTAAGGGAAAAGATTTTCTTTTTTTTTTTTAAAAAAAAAGAGGTCTAAGCAAGGATTTTTGCAGACGAATTTATTGCAGAAAAGTTTTTTTTGGCAGGATCAAAGTTGTTTGCAAGGCGGACGGGCTCGCGGGAACGAACAGGTGCAAAACAGTTCGGATAA